TGGTTGCAACTTAAATATTTAGCTAGCTACCTAAGCATTTAATTTAAATATTTAGCCAACTACCTAAATATTTAACTAGCTAGCTAAATATTTAGGTAGCTAGCTAAATATTTAAGTTGCAACCAAAATATTTAAGTTTCAAGCGAAACATTTAGCTCAAAACTAATTATTTATTTCACAAGTTAAACATTTACCTTGTTAACTAAATATTTAATTTGTAAGTTAAATATTTATTTTTTAAACTATGACATTTATAAATGTATGAATCATATGGTGAAAAACTGACTTTGAAAAATAAATCTGTTCTTTATTTCTTATAAAAGGCTAAATAAAACGAAAATATTGAAGGTAATTTTTGAGTGTGTAACTTTACAAACGGCAGCCCTTACATTTCACTGCACTTGTTTCCTGTCATCCACAAGACATTTAATGAAGACTTTCATGCTGCTCAGTCACCCAGAGTCYACCTCTCCTTGTTTCTCATAACTTCGGACCCCCAAGCTGCTCCTCCCGGGACTTGTTGACCAGCTAAATTTAGCTGGCTGATAGTATTTTGAACAGTTGAGGGGTTTTTCTCCTCGGTGCCCTTTAAAAGGGAAAGGAATCCTGGTGATTAATGTGCTGTACTCCTGGGAGGTAAATGCAGAATCAGTGTGTAAACAGTCTGGCTTTTGTTTCTGAGGATCAGTTTCTGTTCACATTCGAGTGACGTAAAGTTCATCCGACACTCGCTGATGCTGAACGCTACACTGATACTGACTCTGATACTCTTCACACCTGACACAGGAAACAGGACCAACTCGGGGCTTAAATTCCCTGTGCTGTGCACCGTGTGTGTGTTTGTGTGTGTTTTAGTGGGCAGATTCCAGCTGGAGGGGGTATGAGGTGTGGTGTTTCTGACCACTTTAAAGGAGCGCCATCATCAGTGCTCCTGTATGACTCTCAGCCCCAGCTGCGTTTCTCTCTGAGGGCTCATTATTCTGGCAGGTGCCCTATTGTCCCATCAGGGTTTTTATTTTTCTTTCTCCCAGGTCTTTTCAGGAGCAAAGCTAAAACACAACACCAGAACATGCAGGGAGGAGGAAGACGAGGAGGGCAGGGTGCTGCAGGCCTGACTCTCAGAGCAGAGGGAAGTCACTGGTTTGTGTGTCAGAAACAAGCCCCCCCTAACTGGACTGGTGTTGTTGTGTTTCTGGTCAGCTCAGATGAGTTTTACCTGCTTGTTGTCTGTATGATCCTCTGCTGTCTGACCTCCTGGGAAAGATCTCTTCCTCTGCAGCGAACACAACAAAGGAGCTGTTCACGCRCTTCCTGCAATCAAAAACACACACGGTGTGTCTGGGAATAGAAATGCAAATAAATATTTTAGACCACATCACAGAAACACTCACTGTTTGTTCAAATGTTTGAGGAAATGATCACTTTATATATCCAGCTCTGAACTAAACTGCTGTTTTTAAAGTAAACAAACACATGTTTAATTTTATTATGAAATATTTATAACAGGAAGTGTAACATATGATTACTGGTCAGGTGTTCAGGTGGGGTGGTTGTAGCTGAGAGTCATTCAGAGACAAATTTAAAGTATTATGACTTAAGATTTTTTTTGTACATAAGTATTATAAGTAAAAGTATTGAGTAAAAATGAGTGGTTAGATTTCCCACAATGACATTAATGGTGAGGTGACTATGGGGTGCCGTTCTTAAAGTTACACAGTCATAAATTACCACCAATATTTTTGTTTTATTTAGTCTTTTATTAAAAAAAGAACTGATTTATTTATTTATAAGTCAGTTTTTCACCACATGATTAATACATTAATAAATGTCATAGTTTATAAACT